CCCATCTCTGAAAAGAGCTGAACATTACAGAGATTATTGGGGGTGAATCACTGAGACTCAAGGGACCTGGCTCTGCCCCTTGCCTCCTGGGCAGCCTTGGGCCAGTCACGTCTCTGCCTCCATTTCCCCATCTGTAAAATGGACTCGCTGATACCGCCCTCCTTCAGAAAGCCCTAGATGGGCGCTAGGGGTGGTCATTGTTGAAGGCTCAGGGGCAGTGACACCCATTCAATGTGTCTCGGAGATGTGCGTGGGTAGAGCACTGCGGGATGGAAGGCAGGACTCCTGGGCAGTGGTGTCTAGGGGTTAGAGCAAAGGCCAGACACTCTAACCTTGCTGGAAGCTGAGTCCAGAGCATGATCACACCTTGGGAATCATCTCAAGAGGAGAATGGGGGGTCACACAGGGCACCCTCCACCCTCAGTCATAAGGCTTCCCAGCTACCAAATCCCATATGCACTAAGGACCAGCACTGACCATCAGGGGAGAGCGCCCCCTGCAGCACAGCGCCCCCTAGGGCTGCAGGGGGCCAGTATTGACCGTCAGGGGAGAGCGCTCCCTGCAGCACAGCACCCCCTAGGGCTGCACTGGGGCCAGTATTGACCGTCAGGAGAGAGCGCTCCCTGCAGCACAGCACCCCCTAGGGCTGCACTGGGGCCAGTATTGACCGTCAGGAGAGAGCGCTCCCTGCAGCACAGCACCCCCTAGGGCTGCACTGGGGCCAGTATTGACCGTCAGGAGAGAGCGCTCCCTGCAGCACAGCACCCCCTAGGGCTGCACTGGGGCCAGTATTGACCGTCAGGAGAGAGCGCTCCCTGCAGCACAGCACCCCCTAGGGCTGCACTGGGGCCAGTATTGACCGTCAGGAGAGAGCGCTCCCTGCAGCACAGCACCCCCTAGGGCTGCACTGGGGCCAGTATTGACCGTCAGGAGAGAGCGCTCCCTGCAGCACAGCACCCCCTAGGGCTGCACTGGGGCCAGTATTGACCGTCAGGAGAGAGCGCTCCCTGCAGCACAGCACCCCCTAGGGCTGCACTGGGGCCAGTATTGACCGTCAGGAGAGAGCGCTCCCTGCAGCACAGCACCCCCTAGGGCTGCACTGGGGCCAGTATTGACCGTCAGGAGAGAGCGCTCCCTGCAGCACAGCACCCCCTAGGGCTGCACTGGGGCCAGTATTGACCGTCAGGAGAGAGCGCTCCCTGCAGCACAGCACCCCCTAGGGCTGCACTGGGGCCAGTATTGACCGTCAGGAGAGAGCGCTCCCTGCAGCACAGCACCCCCTAGGGCTGCACTGGGGCCAGTATTGACCGTCAGGAGAGAGCGCTCCCTGCAGCACAGCACCCCCTAGGGCTGCACTGGGGCCAGTATTGACCGTCAGGAGAGAGCGCTCCCTGCAGCACAGCACCCCCTAGGGCTGCACTGGGGCCAGTATTGACCGTCAGGAGAGAGCGCTCCCTGCAGCACAGCACCCCCTAGGGCTGCACTGGGGCCAGTATTGACCGTCAGGAGAGAGCGCTCCCTGCAGCACAGCACCCCCTAGGGCTGCAGGGGGCCAGTATTGACTGTCAGGGAAGAGCGCCCCTGCAGGACAGCGCCCCGCTCTGGCAGTGAGCTCCCCGCCACCCGCGGGCCTGTCCAGGCGCCATGGCACAGCGCTCCTCGCCCAGGGAGCGGCCGGGAGGTGATGGCGGCCGTGTGCCCTGAATTCCAGGGACAACGACAAGATCAAGCAGAAGATCATCCAGCTGACAGAGCTGCAGGAGAGCCTGGTGAGCAGGGCTCCCTGGGAGGGGCCGACAAGCCGGGGCGGGGGGAGGCGACACGCCCTGGTCCCATTTGGCATCCTAACCGGGCAGCCTCTTAGCTCGCCCTCCTCCCAGCAAACCTCGGCTGGGCGCCTGCCCCTTTGAATGCTCCTTGACGTTTCCTTGCGCCCCGTGATTCGTCCTCTAGGACTCCGCGGAACTCCTCGCTGCAGGGATCGAGCCATCAGGAGCCTAGACGAGGGCTCTTGCCAAACAGCTGGGAGGCATTCGCTGGGCTGCTTCCCAGCTCCCCCATCCTGCTCCCGGCTTCAGGCATAAAGGGGTTTTGCCCTCCCTATACCCCGGGCCCTGCCCCTCGTGTCACCCCGAGGCTGCTCTCAACACGCTCTGCCCCCGACGGGCCCTGGCGGGCTCAGCGTAACCACATCACAGTGCGCGTTCGCCGTGCCAGCAGGGCACAGGGGAGCGTTGCCACAGGGGGGCGCCGGCTGCCCACCCCATTGTCCTGGGCCGGGCTGCAGGGCCAGGGACCTCGGGGGCGGAGAAAGATCCCGAAAGCGCAAGGGCGGGCCTGGTTACTGACAGCGCGGCTCATTCTCCTTCTCTTCCAGCAAGACGACATTTACATCCTGGAAGAGCAGCTGTGTAAGTACCGGAGGCAGGGGCCGGAGTGGAGAGCCTGGCCTGCCAGCCCTGCCCGAGCGACCCAGGGAGGCAGGAGCCCGGACTGGGCCCTTCTTAGACGTCAGAGGCTTTTCAGTTGCCTTAGTCTGCCCTGGTGCTGGCTTGTAGGGCAGGGGGGCTATTTCCTGGGGGAAGGGGTCAATTTCCAGGGTCAGGGACTACCCAGACACACAGGCAGCGGCGGATTTAGGGCAGGGTGAGCGGGGCGGCTGCCTCGGGCCCCGCGCTTCCCGAGGCCCCGCGCATGCGCCGTGTCAAAGAAGGGGCCCCGCAAAATTTCGCTGCTCGGGGCCCCGCAGTTCTGCCCTGGGCTCCGTGGCACTCTCATCGCCCCTGCACACAGGGAACGAGATCAGGGCCCGTCGGGCCGGGCGCCGCCCAGACACACAGTGACCGAGATCAGGGCCCCGTCGGGCCGGGCGCCGCCCAGACACACGGTGACCAAGATCAGGGCCCCGTCGGGCCGGGCGCTGCCCAGACACACAGTGACCGAGATCAGGGGCCCGGCGG